AGGGTGCAGAGGAGGCTACCCCCCCCTCTGTCCCCTTCTGGCTGCCTCTGCCTCAATTTTATCCCACAACTTAGACATTCACATTATTCACACTCTCATTACACATACATATAGGATCTTGGGGGTGGGCACAATCACGGAGTCCAAATTACCATCAGGGTGTATACCTCACCCCTGACGTCCTTGCCCACCTCTCAATTTTAAATACACTTAGTCATTGAGGGCTAGCAGGAGGGACTATGCGCTTACCTGCTGCTCCTTGGCAGGTAGCTCCATGCCCTCCTGGGTTTTAATTGCACCTTAGATCACATATGCATCAACACTACAATGAGCGGGTGGAGGGAGGTTTGGAGTCTTCTCCCACCCCCATTCTCTGCGGCCTGCTGGAGCGGGAGGGCTAGTAGGAGGAGTTGGCCGTCCGGCTGCGGTCTGGGGTGTGGGGCCTCCCTGCTGCTGCGGAGTCGGGGTGGTCTGCCTCTCCCCACCGCAGGGAAAAGGGTAACACCACCTGGGTCTGGGTGCAATTCCCCCCTCCAGGGGCAAGGGTACCTAGACCCGGTTTGTAGAGTACGCTTGGGGAGTGTGATCGTGTGTACAGCGTCTCTTTATGTCTATCTCCACGTTGGTTGAGTGTGGAGTGAGTGCACATGAGAGCATGAGGGTGGGAATGGATGTTTGTGTCTGTGTGTGCCTGTATGTCTGTGTCTATATGTCAGGTTGGGTATCAGACGCCACCTCTCTGGGGACACCTCAGGCCCTCCAAGGTTTGGAGGCCTATCTCTACCCACCACCACTTCCCCTGCCGGTGGCGGACTCCCTCAGGTGTCGGTGTGCTGGTGGTTCCTTGTGTCTGGGGGTGGGCGTCCGGGTACACACCGGCTCACTCCTTGGCGGCCGCTTGTCGGGGCCTGGGGCCTGGGGCTCGCTCGGGCCCCCTTTGGAGGTGGGGTGCCCCCGGCCTCTCGGCCTGGGGCTCGGTCACTCAGGCACAGCTGGGGGCCGGCGGAGCTCACGGGCGCGTCACTGCAACTCCCCCTGGCTTCTGCTCCGCGGCTGCTGGGCGAGCCCTCATCTGGGACTCTCCTCAGCTCTTACTGGAACAGTGGCGCGGCTGCCCCTCTGTTGGTCTTCCGTGGTCTCTTGTGTTCTGGGGGCCTCTGGATGTCTGGAGTTTTGATCTCCTCCATACCCGCTTCACACCCTGGAGGACGGGGCTGTGGCCCCCCCACACTCCCTAGCAGATCATTACATGGAGAAACCTTTGGAATGCAAGCATGCTGATCCACACAGGTATGCACACAGGTGTACACATGGGTATTCACAGACGCGGACTAAAGCTTTCTTGGCTGCTGCCTCAAAGCACACTGTGCGCTGTCTATCTTGCGTGCTGCACAATATCGTTTATTATTTAGTAACTATTGATATCTATGACTAGCTAGTTTATTGTGATGGTGCTTTGTTTTCTCTATTATTATGTTGCTCTTTGTTGTTTGCTGTCTCCTCTGTTTGTTTTTTTTGTTGTTTGTTTGTTTTTTTTTTTTTTTTTCTCCATACAGGTGACCCAGGGTTGTTTTTTTTTTTTTTTCCCCCCTTCTCACCGTCTCTTCTCCCCTTTGGTTTTCTTTCTTTCTCTCCCCCTCTTTCTCTCATTCATTCCCCCTGTCCTATTTCTTAAAAAAAATAAATAAATAAATAAAAAAATTGGCAAAGGATGAACTGAAGCTATGCCATCACGTAATGTCGCATACTGCTGTTTCTGATGTCATTTAAAAAAAAAAAAAAAAAAAAAAAAAAGGACTGCTCTCCGCTGCACTCTCCGAGGAGCCCCGCCTCCCTCCAGCTGCACTCTCCGAGGACCCCCGCCTCCCTCTTGATGTCTTGTCTCCAGCATCTAAATCATTTTCTGAATCTTCAGTAGAACATTCATGTGCTCCTCCCTCTGTGCTAAATGAAACTGCGGCTTATAGAAAGTCCATGAAAATGAAACGCCCTCACTGTGGTCTTAGTGTTCTTAAAAAAAACTTCAAGGCTCACATGATGAGGAGGCATTCAAACACATCAATGTTTGCCTGGCCTGTCATCTGCACTGTGGAGGGAGGGACTTCCTCCTCTTTGTTTTTCAGTTTGCAGAGACCATGGAGCTCTTTTTAAAAGCATGTGCTGATGAGCAGGGACTACGGGTCAATGCGATGTTTGACATTTAATGGGCAGATGAAGGCCCCGGCTGTTTGTTTGTTTGTTTTTTTATGTGTTGTTGGGTTTTTTTTTGTTGCATTGTTTGCCATATGTGACCATTTCTGCTGTGTTGTGCAAATGTAATGAAACTTGTAATGAAACCCATTATAACCATCTTTTTTAATTCCTTGCTGTTGACAGTACTAAATCATATAAATTAGGTAAAACTGCTTTCATTCTAAACTCAACACATGTAAATTGTATTTTTTTTTTTTAAATTATGTCATTTACCCATTTTTGGCCAAACAAGCAATTTTATGTAATTCTGATTTTCAAATAAGGGTGTTTGATGGCTTACCGCACTGCAATGGACCAAAAAAAATGACGTAGGTTTGATCTTAAGGGTCCAATAGTTTGTGAATGACATTGCAGCACAAATATGTGTTTGCAAGATGTAGCTGCCATCACCAGTGTGTGAATGTGTGTGTGTGAATGGGTGGATGACTGGATATGTAAAGCACTTTGGGGTCCTTAGGGACTAGTAAAGCGCTATATAAATACAGGCCATTTACCATTTACCATTTAGTAGGCAGCAGCAGGGGGATTTTCCTGGTTTGATCCAGGAGCTGAAGCTTACAGACATATTTCAGGATGTCAGGGGGGCAATTTGAGCTCTCGCTGGCAGAGCTGGGACCACAACTGAGGAGGCAGAGGAATCAGCTCCAGACTTTTGAGGGACTGTGCAGATCAACTCTGTGAGGTTATCTTTAACCTCAGTCTCAGCCTGGAGAGGGTCTCCATTCTGTGGAAGACCTCTTGTTTGGTGCCTGTCCCAAAGACAACGCAACCCAAGGAGCCAAACCACTTCAGACTCGTTGCCCTGACTTCACACCTGATAAAGACCATGGAGAGGATCATACTACACCACTTTCGCCCACCAGTTGGGAGAGATCTAGACCCGCTGCAGTTTGCCTACCAGCCTAACATTGGGGTGGATGACGCGGTCACCTACCTGCTGCATCGGGCCTTCTCTCATCTGGAGAGCGCAAGATGCACTGTGAGAGTCATGTTTTTTTATTTTACCAGTGCCTTCAATACAATCCAACCCTCAGTGCTAAGGGAGAAGATGCAGGGATTGGTGGGAATGGACCATCAGCTGTCCTCGTGGATTATTGACTACCTCACCAGAAGACCCCAGTATGTGAGGCTACGGGACTGTGTCTGAGGTGGTAGTCTGTAGCACGGGGGCCCCATAAGGAACAGTACTCGCCCCTTTAATCTTCACCCTGTACACTGCGGACTTCAGTTATAACATGGACACTTGCCATATCCAGAAGTTCTCAGACAACACTGACATTGTGGACTGTCTGCTGGAGTACATCGAGCAGGTTGGGGAGGAGAGGATGTTGTCTAAGCTAACATCCATCATGGACAACAGCTCCCATCCCCTGCGTGAGACTGGACGAGCACCGAGCAGCTCATTCAGCAGTAGACTTTTACACCCACAGCGTAGGAAGGAGCGCTACCGCAGGTCATTCTTACCAGCAGCTGTCAGACTCTATAATACTCATTTTATATTAAATCTTAATATAAATGAGTAACAGTAGGTGGACATTAGGTAAGGCTGCACTTTTTGCAGCGATCTCGTATAAAAAACTATTCGGCGCGTATATAAAACAGGTCCGCGGCTCTGAACGGTAGTAGAGGGACCTCTGGCTAACACGTCGGGTTCGTGTCGGGCTCGTAGAGCCTCTTAATGCGTGTTTTTTTTAGGTTTCCACCGGTGTGGAATTACCAAAAATAGAGAGGACATAGCCGAACATATGAAACAGGAAAATACTGCTGTGTAACCCATTTATTTCAGCAAAGCATTCTGAATACTACCGTTTTAAACGGTAACTGTAACAGAATACAGTTACTCATATCTTGTATTTTAAATACGTAACACCGGCACATGTACTCCGTTACTCTCCAACACTGCCTGTAAAGCACTCACTAACAAAACAGGAAACTGAATATCTGCTGAAACAGATCAGAGCCCCTGGAGCTGTACCCAAACTGGAAAACCTTAAAGGTTACTAGCAAGTCTCCTTAACTGAACATGCTTCCAACATTTAAGCCATCATCAGATGACTTTTTATACTCTCATAGCATTTGATATCAGTAATGCTCATGTTACCTTTCAGAGGCTGATAAAGTTCTGAGTGGCCTCTCCAACTGCAGTGCCTATTTGGATGACCTGGTGGTTTATCCGGAAACTCGGCAAGATCATTTGACATGGGCAGGTACAGCCCATGAAGTCCAACTTTGTTGCGCTTAAAGATTATTCCACAACTAAAACAATGCGTGAGCTGCATAGGTTTCTGGGAATGGTTGGTTATTACAGCAAATCTGCAGAAATTTCTCCTCCATGGTCCAACCATTAACTAGTCTTAATTGCTCCTTGGGAATAATAATATAAAAAATAAAGTCTTTCTGATTCTAATCTACTGTCCAAAGGTTGATTTTGTTTGGTCAGATGAGTGTCAGGGTGCTTTTGAAAGTGCTAAATCCCTCCTTTGCCACACCCCATGCTCGCTGCACCTGAGTTGACCTGACCTTTCAAATTGGAAGTTGGGGCTGGAGCAGTGCTGTTGCTGGAAGATGTGCAGGGTTTGGACCACCCCGTTTGCTATTTCTCCTGCAAGTTTAACAAAAATCAGCTCAATTATTCCACTATTGAAAAGGAAACTATGGGTTTGTTGTTGGCTCTTCAGCACCTCCAAGTTTACCTGCAGTCCAGTATTTTGCCTATCGTTGTGCACACTGATCGTTTTCCTTTCACGTATATTCAACGTGACAGGCTCTGTTGACGCAGGAATACACTCTAGACATTCAACATAAAAAGGGAACTGAAAATATTCTGGCCGATGACCTTTTCAGGTTGTATGATTTTGGTTTTTGTTTTTCATAAGCTGAAAAATGCTAAAATTTAAGTTTTCAGCAATGCTTACCATATTTAGAGAGCCCGATTGGCAACAAGCATTAAAAGTAATCTTCCCCTGATGTCTACTCTGAAATCACAGCAGCAGTAAATTTGCAGCAGGTCTGTGAAGCATGGAGTTACTGGAAGATTATGTCTTATTTATTATCTTTCAAAATACATAAGCATGTGTGTTAGCACTGACCTCAGGCTGTTAGTAACTATCAAATCGTCCATACAGTCTTCCACAAACACCTGGGGAAAAAACAATAACCTGCTAAAGATTACATGTAGTAGATGAGCAGGTGCAAGCTGATAGTGTCACAGTAAGAAGATGCTCCAGTGACCGTGCAGAGTCACATTTAGTTAAATAACCAGAATATTAAAAAACATATAAACAGAGTTCATTGATACTGCTGCAGCCTCTAGAGAGCAGAATAAGATACAGATCCCATACATAGCCAAAGTTACCTGAAAGCTCGTGGTTCACCTGAAAGTTAAAACCCGGCAGCTCCGGATCTACTTCCTAAACTTTGGACAGGAAGTAGATAAACAAACAGCAGTCTGGTCCATCTTTCCAACTTTTCTTTGTTTAAACGATTAACAAATGTATTGGCGAGCTGAGATTATGTGATTATTTTATACATAGAAACAAGCAACCAATCAGGTGAAAGCATGTCCCAGCAGTGTGCCAGTTGGTGACAGTGTGGACAGATGTTTGCCGTGCAGAATCTGTCACGTAAATCGTACCATCATGGGTGCGGCCGCTGAGCTCTATACACAATAATCCTTTGCTGTGAGCCTCCAGCTGGTGGTTTAAATCTTTATGTTTACTTTTTATTCACATTTTGATGAATACTTTAAATGTTCTGCTGGTTGTGACTCTGGATTTCTCGCAGCTTCATTTGGTTCCAGTCCAGGCCCGGTCCGAGTGCGGCGACGGGGCACAGAGCTCGGAGTCGGAGTCTGACTCCCCCTCAGCGATGTAGGACCGGACGGCGGTGCAGCAGGCAGCTCCTCCCCCACCATGGCGATCTCCCAGATTGTTGGAGGAGTAGAATCCATTGTTGAGGAAGTCCAGGTTGTCTCTGGACTGGGAGATGGAGAAGCCACTGAAAGAACGCTCCAGCTCCTCGTGGTCCACCGATGGAATGGAGATAGAGGTGTCACTGTCAGGCTTCCCCTCCTCGCCTCCTCCTCCCATCCCATTGGACCCCTCTCCTGCCCTCTCCTGTTTCTCCGCCCCCCCTCGGTCTCCGGTGCTGTGACGGTTTGATCGGTTCCCACTGTGTCTCTCCCCAGATGGAGGAGGGGGCAGTCGAACCAGTGACCCATCCCCCACCGGACTTGGAGTATTACCCTGGCTACGATGAGGAGGGGGCGGAGCCTGCTGGTGGAGCTGGGAGCTGATGGGCTGCCAGGAGGTGGAGGGAGGACATGTGGGGGCATTGTAGTTCCTGTGTCCGGTGGAACTGCTGGAGCGAACCATCTTCGTCACATCCCGAGCCTTCTCCACCTGTTCACCTGGCAACCCTCTGTGCAAGATGTAAACACATTAGTAAGTAACCGCCATTTTATCAACAGGAAGTTCTGAGATTATCAAAAGGAAGTTGTTTATGAACAGCCAGATCTGAGGTCAAGTGGAAGATAACAGATTCCTTTTTGCTAAAGCATATAGTTAGGGCTGGACCAGGTGACCCTGAATCCTCCCTTAGTTATGCTGCAATAGGCTGCTGGGGATTTCCATGATGCATTGGGTGTTTCTTCTTCACTCACTATGTGTTAACAGACCTCTCTGCACTGAATCATATCTGTTATTAACCTCTGTCTCTCTTCCACAGCATGTCTTTATCCTGTCTTCCTTCTCTCACTCCAACCAATCACAGCAGATGGCCCCGCCCCTCCCTGAGCCTGGTTCTGCTGGAGGTTTCTTCCTGTTAAAAGGGAGTTTTTCCTTCCCACTGTCGCCAAAGTGCTGCTCATAGGGGGTCATATGATTGTTGGGTTTTTCTCTGTATGTATTATTGTAGGGTCTACTGTACAATATAAAGCACCTTGAGGCGACTGTTGTTGTGATTTGGCGTTGTATAAATTAATTGAATTTAATTGAATTGGATGGTCGGGCCTTTAGGTCAGGTTCAAGTTAGATTAAAATTGGGAAATATTTATTATATTTTTCTCATCACTACTGTGACTTTGATGACGCTACCCTTTACTTGTATTTTCATTTACATTAATGACATGATGAATGAATAAAAAGACACTGACTGCATGATCTTGGCGATGGATTGGCTCTTCTCCAGCTGATCCACTGGACTGTGATAGGGTGGTGCTGGGTCTGGCTCCTTGGATCCAAAGTAGGCGTCGGTCTCAGCCTGAGGGATTCCCATTCGCTGGATATAGATATTAACCAAAAAGTCGAGCTTTCTCTCCATGGACAGGACCTAAGTGAGAAAACACCACCAAAACAGACTCATGTCTGAAACCATAGCAGAAAAGCCACCAGATGTACTCTTTATAGTCTGTTGGTTACCTGCTTCTCCACCTTCCCCAGGCGTCCCATCATGCTCGGGTCTTCAGGTAGCTCCTCACTGGCTGCTTTGGGACGATCCTTATCTGCAATTGGTGTTCCTCTGCCAACGATCTGATCCACCCTGCCAGTCAGGAGACAGAGTGAGTCAAGCCATTCAAAACCTCATAAAGTCTTACTTCACGCAGTTTTACCTAGACTGGAGGTTCTTGATACGGGCGAGCATGTCCAGGTGTCCGGCTGAATACTGTTCAATCACATCCATGACATCGTAGGGACGAAGACTTTCCTTAAACTTCCTCTTGGATACCATGAAGCGCATGATGCTAAGAGAGGAAACAAGACAGCCAGCAGTCACACCACATAGACTTGTCTGAAATCAAAAAACCGAATCTGAATACTTAGAAGATATTCTGGGGCTTTTCTGTACAGGGTGCTGTGTGGTTTCTTTATCCAAGTCCTGGTGACTAGTTTGAGTTGCACGCTGTTTACCGGCATGCTTTGGCATGTGTGCCTGGATTGCTAATGAGGTCAATCAAGTCTTGACCACATCCATCTACAGTCTGTGGAATGGAGATAAGGAATGGTCCATATCTCTGCTTCAGTCCTGAAAACTGTGGCTCACAGTCCTGCTGATAAGCTCTGGGCTCAGGGTCACCACAATGGAGAAACACGTTAAAAGTAACGGTTTGAGCTTGGCCCAAAGATGAAGACCAGATCAAATCTACAAAGAGCAGGCAAAGACTGTTTCGTTCTCTGACAGTCGAGTCAACCAGAACTTTGAATGGTTATCTTTAAAAACGTCAGCGATACCTGGGAAAGAACAGTAACGTTAGGGTAGGCCACATTGTGTTCATCCTTTTATCACACTTTATAGACATTTATATATTCCATCCATCCATTCGCTTCCGTTTATCCTTTTCAGGAGCCTATCCCAGCTGTCTTAGGGCGAGAGGCGGGGATACCCTGGACAGGTCGCCAGTCTGTCGCAGGGCTAACACACAGAGACAGACAACCATTCGCACTCACATTCACTCCTGCATTCACACCTATGGGCAGTTTAGTTTCCGATTAACCTATTCCCACTAACTGCATGTCTTTGGACTGTGGGAGAACCCACACAAACACGGGAAGAACATGCAAACTCCACACAGAAAGACCCCAGCCTGATGGTGGAATTGAAGTCAGGACCTTCTTGCTGTGAGGCAACAGTGCTAACCACCGTGCTGCTCCATGATATTTCTATATCTTACTACAATGTTGGTTTTATTCTGTGCCTTGTAGAAGGTGGGTCATGGAAGTCCCGGAGGTAGGGCCCCTCCATTCCCACATGCTCCAGGATCAAAACAAACATGGAAGCTAGCCCACAGCTTGTTTGTTTACATGCTGTTTCTTAGTCTCTGCTCTGAAGTGAGTTGAGGGGGGTAGCATACAGCATACAGCAAACTAAGGACAGCCAACACTTCTGGAGATTCAGCGTACGTCCTGAGGGAAGCTGGTTCTCTTTGAGGAGGTTTTATTTCTACTGGAGCTGCTGCATGTCTCAGAATTTAGTTCTGATCCAGATTCCAGAACCAGACAGCTGGACTGCTGGAGAGCTGCTGAGGCAAGACCTGAAACTTCAGATAACTGATATGCCTGAATACACCAACAAAAAACACATGAGAAATGATAATAACAATAATAATTGTAATGTCTTAGCAGAGGTGCTTATACAACACAACAGAACACAGTGAAACAACATAAAGCAATGAAGCTAACTGAGGTCAGACTGACTGCTCTTACCCAACAGCTGATGGGGACCTTTGACCCTGGGGTGAGTAGAAATTTAAAAAAAAATACAAAAAAAGAAATAAAAGTAATGTGAATAAAAACATGATTCAGTGCAGAATAAACAGCAAATAAAGGGTGAGCAAAGCGATGAATGGTGGCAGAAAAACGAATATTTGCAGGAAACTGTTCGTACCAGATGGCTCTAATGGTAACCTTTAACGCTGGGGTCAGGTCCTGAGGGACAAACTCACAGTGGCAGCTCTTGTTGTCATCAGCCATTTCTTCTCCAGGAAGGCTGGCCTCTAAAACGGCAACAAACACAATGGGTGTAATTGACCACACACACACGGGACTGCAGAACCTGTGGGACCCAACATGTCATTACAACCAGAGACCTCAAACTAGTTCACATGATGTCTGGACAAAAAAAAAAACCAAACAACTAAAACAAAACTAAAATGTTGTCACAAACATGACCTGCAGGTGGCAATACAGCCCCTCACGTCATAATGCCCAACAAGACGCCACTGCATGTAAACAAAGTAGGAAATGTGACTCACTTTTATCCTGCTGAAACGCTCATGGTAACCAAAGCTCTGCACACAGACTGAAACCCCATGTCCCTGTTTACCTCTGCCCTGATGGCCTCCCTCTGTGTATTCTGGTGTGTGTGAGTGTGTGCTGACCTGGGGAGCTCTTCTGTCTGAACTCTTCATCCTGCATCTCTATCAGCACTACAGGAGGAAGAGGAGAGAGGAAACACCTTCATCACGGAAGATCACACTCATCATCACAGTCACCCAGAAAACCAAACAATTACCAAATTTTATACCTGCAAGTGTTAGCCTAGATTAGCACACACCGAATGTGCTACCCTAGCTTAGCACATCGAATGCGTTAGCCTAGTTTAGCACACACAGAATGTGCTAGCCTAGCTTAGCACACACAGAATGTGTTAGCCTAGCTTAGCACACAGAATGTGTTAGCCTAGCTTAGCACACACAGAATGTGCTAGCCTAGCTCAGTGTGACTGGAAGATGAGGAACGCTGTGATCTGAAATGGATGCAGAGCTTAAACTTGACAGTCAGGTTGTAAGATCTAGCTTTTTTTAATGTGAGGCACTTCATCTAAAATAGACCCTATTTTATCAAGGAAGCTTTTTGAGAGGGTAATCCATGCCTTTGATACATCGAGGCTGGATTACTGTAACACACTTTATTGTGGGGTTAGTGATGCATCCATCAGGCATCTGCAGGTTGCGCCTAATCCTAACCCTGCAGTGCGACGTTTAACTGGCACATAAAAATCTGAGCACATTTTTAATTAACTCATTTCAGGATCCTTTATAAATCTTTTAATGGCCTGACTGCCCCCCTCCCCCAAACTACTACAGCCATATACACCTGCCCGCTCCCCTAGGTCTGCCAATCAGCAGCTCGTTAAGGTACCAAAGACTAAATATAAATTTAAAGGTGGCTGTGGTTGTGCTGTAGCTGCTCCAAAATTGTGGAATGATCTGCCCTCGCACGTTAGGCAGGCCTCTTCTCTTTCTGACTTTAAGACTCTTCTAAAAACACATTTTTTATTTCAAATTGCTTTATAAAGGTGGTATGGTAAATGGACCCAACAATGGACTATGGGAAGCGCTTCGGCTCCCTTAAGGCCAAAACAGAGAGCATGAGGAGGAGCTTCTTCCCTTGGGTATCTGGTCCCTCAACCAGGTGTAGGACTGGACTCTCTCTCATTCCTGTACATCAGCAACTGTTTATTCCCACACGATTTATTTGCACAGTTTTATAACTTCTTAAATTTGTTTATCTGCACATTCTATTTGTTTTTATTTATAATTTTTTTACCTTCAATTTTACTGTAAATTTTTACATTTTAAACGTGTATATTATGAAAATTTCTGGCTAGTTTAGTTTTATGTTTAGTTTTTTATGGTCGGGCATTGCACAGCAACAAGCATTTCACTGCATGTCGTACTGAGTATGATTGTGTATGTGATAAATAAAATTTGAATGTGTAAATATTAGAAGCAGAGGGAAGTTTATTTGAAGAGCAGAACCAAAGGGATCCCACAAGCTTTTCTATAACGCTGGAAACAGAGGGTGAACTTTACATGAACGCCGTGAACTTGAATGCTAGAAGTCTGATATCACGTCTCAGATTACAGTTCCTGAAACATCCTATCCGATTGTTCAGTCTGACGTCACTAGCCGTGTCTGGCCTAAACTCCGCTGCAGGTCCATATATCAAACGATCACTATGGCATTACTGAGAGTTGAAAAACTGTCTAAAGTCTTTCATCTTTAATAAAATGATCAGCGTTCTGCTCTACCAGGTGTAACAATTGAGTTTAACATCCAGGCATCCATGAAAACGGAATTTATGACATTTAACGGAGTTAGAAGTTAGCAGGGAGTTAGCTCGCTAGCTTCTATCTAAATACAATATAGCATGTCCTGACTGCGGGGTTTTGGAAACAAATTAAAACGTACAGCTCTGCTATCACTTCCAGCATAAATGAAGACAGAAAACTAAACAGCAGTGACGTTTGTAGGGTTACTGAAGTTGGGCTAGCTGGTATATAATGATGTGCTACGTGACCGCTAGCGACACAGCTATGTTAGCATAATATAAACAAGCTAACTTTTTTTCCACTCGATAAAAGTTAACGTGAGTGTTCTCGGTGGTCAGGAACAAATGTAATCGCATGGCAGGATGCTGTAAAAGGACCAAACTTCAGCCAGGAGAACAACTGAGATAATCCATCCACAATACGAGGTTAGTCATTCATATACTGCTGCATGGGCTGGGCTGTAGTTACATCCTAAGGTTTTAAAAACTGAGCTTAAATAAATGATTAGCGGTAATAAAAGCCGAGGGAGGTCAACAGTGATCACTGACTGTTTTAGGAGCTTTTTGAGATCAAATAGAAGAAAATACATAACATTAAACATGTTAACAACACAAAAGCCATATTAAACGCAGACTACTTTAGACCCGGAAGTAGGATTCGTCGCGTCATCACTGAACAACCGGATAGCTAACTGCTCATTAAAGGGACGTCCACACAGGAAGAGGCTGCACAGCCAACGGAGAACATAAATATCAAAAGCATTCAGGTAAACAATGACACGTGAAATGACTTCGAGGTGGGCGGGTCCTTTTGTTAACCGCCTAAACCCAAACTCTTTCATGGCAGCATTTTTAATTTCTCTTTGCTATTTGGGCTGATTGGGACCTGATGAATGTAAAAACAAAGAATTGCCCGATTTTTTTTTTACTGGATTTTTGTTTCTGAGAAACATGAGATCGACATAAGAGAACATTAGTTTCAAATTTCGATCGAGCAGTGGCAGTATAATGTCCTCGTAAGTGGATATCAGGCACTTGTAGAGCAACATTTAGTATTTTGGTCTAGACGACCCAAAATGTGATGTCCACATACAGTATGTGGACGCCAGGTCCTAGGAGGTTAAACTGATCTCAGCTTTGAGGACAGAGAGGAACCACTGACTGACACAGAAGAAGGGGGAAGTCCACCAGAGGATCATCCGACTGTCAGCTACAAATGCATCCACTGTGGGCAAGGTTTGAGAGTCTGCTCTAAATGCTGATATAAAAACCATTGAAACTGTAGCTAGAACCAGTTAAACCAGTCAGAATCATTCACACACCAAGACTCCACTGATGCTCAGATGATGAGCGTGGATCAGTCACACCTCCAGTTTCCTCTCACGACCTTCTCCTCTTCCCTCGTTCTTTGTTTTTCCCCTCTCTCATTTGTCCTGCATGTGTCACAGTGACCTCAGGTGATGTCTAATGAAAACAAAGAGCTGGGTTCCTCTTCCATTTTTGTAGAAGAAATTCTTTATTTGACACAAATGTTCGTCCCACAGCAGTGTGGAAACGGCTCCGGCCATGCTCACATCCACTGTGAAGCCTTGCACATTTGCACCTGTACCATTGTAGTGTTGTGAGCCCACACATGATGGCGCCATGGTACTTTTTTTATGTCCGATACCGATATCATAAATATGGATCTGCCGATACGATATGATTTGTTTTTTTAATGTCTCGCTGTTCATATTCACATTTTAAAAAACAAAACAAGCTGTTCTGTTACACTGTATGCAAAAAATACACCACACCCCAAACATTTCACAGTTCAGCAATAATGATCTTTGTATTTACATATTTAGGAGAACTTTAAATCTAAGTATTTAAAGTAAAATTCAAAAATAATTTAAAATGCAATTTTATGCAGATTTCAAAAAGGTCTTTGTTCTGAAAAAAGTGCAATATCAGCACAAAATAATCTTTATATTCAACAACTAAAAACGTGGAGCCTTTTACACTTAAAGCTGAACATAAACAGACATCCAGAGTGGAAAACAGTGCAAATAAATGCAAACACTTCATGACACTCACCTTTGATCAGGATGGATGTCAGTGTGAGCTGTTTCTATCACACTTAACCTGAGGCTAAATTTTGTGTCATTTACATACATATAAACACTTATTTTTAATAGTTTTTTTCTGAACCATGAAACTGTTTGGCCATGTGTCGTCCCTGCGTCGGGAGCACACGCTGGGCTCTCCAAATCACACACAAACAGTATCCCACATTCCTGATTTTTAGTTCACAGACACTTCTTATAACGACTAACTTCTCCTGAAACGTTGGAGGGTTTTATACAGTAAAGTCACAGGATAAAAATAATTATCAGTCATTTGTTAAAATAATAATTTTCTGTTGTAACCCTCAAACAGAATGGTAATGTAACCACAAACATTTTTCACAAAACTAAAACACACTACTTCCACATCTAATGTCTTTACTCGGACTAAACTGGATCCGCACTCCGTGCCAGCGAATGCTCGCGGCATGGGGGCGGCGGGTTTCTCCCCGATATCCGATCCAGTAATTTAGGTCAGGATCGGATCGATACCGATGCTGTATATCGGATCGGTCCGGTCCAGAAGAGTTTGTTCACCCTGAGTCATCATCACTGGAGCTCAGATTCCTAATTTCACCTTTGATTTTAATCTGATGATCGAACTCTGACCGGACAGATCAGAGGAAGTTTGCTGATGGAGGTGAGACAGCAGCAGACTCTGGATCAGTTTGAATCCAATAAAAACTGTCCTGCCATGCAGGTGAACCCTGATTCGCTGATTCCTTCGGGTGGATTCGGTTCCAGGCTGACAAACACGATGATGATGAAGTCTTCTAAACCAAACATTTAATCTCAAAATAACAGCAGTTTAGTGACTAATGCTTAAGTAAAGACAGACCACATCTTACAGAGTGTCCTGGCAAACAGGACAAGCTGCTGATTTTTCTGAACATGTGATTTTAGTGCAGATTTTTGGGCGACTGGTATCGACACTGCTCGGCTTGGCCGGTCTTACCTTCAGAGTTCTGACGGGATGCTGCTCCCCGGATCCTGAAGGCCTGCCTAGTTCTGCTGCGTTCTCCAAAGCTCCAGCTCTTTGGAACCTTGCTGGGACTCTCTTCCAAATTGGGCTCTATGCTGGGGGACCGCCGCAAGGCCTGGACTCCCCCAGGACCTCCAGGTACTCCAGGACCAATGCCAGGAGCAGGACCCATTCCAGGTGCAACTCCTGGGCGAACGGGAGGAACCAGTAAGAAGGAAGGAAGACAGAGTGCTACTTCAGGTCCTGATTACAAGTAACGTTCTTTGCTTAAATGGCTCCTCCTGGATATGACTGCCAGTCCTTGATGTGCACAAACCAGTAACCACCAGCTCACAGGGGTGCAGTGGTTACCTATGTTGCCTCACAGCCTGAGGGTCCTGGGGTTCCACCCACCCTATGAAATAGGCCGACCCCCCCCACCACCACCAACGATCAGTGGATGGCGTGTTGTCTGACTCTATGTTTAAAGACTCCTTTAGCACGTAGATGACATCAGTATCAGGATTACTCCCAGACCAAAAACATGAACGTTAAAAAATATCAACACCCACCGTGCTGAGGAGAACCTTTGCCTTTGGTTCCTGAACTCCGAGGAGACGAGAAGACCCTCTCCTTTAGACTCACCTTCTGACTGTGGGAGGGAGGAGAAAGACCAGGAGATTTTAGTCACATCGGGAAAATGATCAGCTCTTAAATCCCTTTGGGTTATGGTCATATAATTACATAACTAACCAAACAGATACACTTTAATCCTCATAGGTGATAAAAACTAAGGAGCTTGGAAAGAAAAAGACTGGAAGACATTTCACGTCTCATTCAACAGTGTTATTCAGCTGTGAGACCTCACCCCATCAGGTTTGGTCTTACAGTGGTTTCACCCGAAACCTCTGGTGATAACGACCGACACCTTTTTTCACTCCTTGGCTCATGAGATGAGGAACGTGATTAATAATGGGTCAACGAACCTCAACCAAGACATCTCTTGGATGAGAGGTGAAAGGTCATCACAAACATGTAAGAATTCCAGGTGCTTTCTTTCCAAGCTCCTCATAGTACCATGACAGACACACAGGTGTTAAACCTGGAAATATTTCTTTGTTCCCTGATTGCAGAGACTCAGAGGAACCATTTAAAACAAATTTAGGGTGATTGCTGCTGATGACTTAGACAACAGAGGGTTCACCTCTTGAACTTCACCAAAGGAAATATTCAAATAGAAGGATGTAAGGCAACATGGATTTAAAAGGCTTTTTGTGACAGCTGAACGTTTCTAAAGCAATGGTTGAATAAGATGTTGGGAAATCTGATGTGAGTCCTTGGAGAAGAGACCACGGACCTGGGAGAAGGTTCAGGCTGAACATCCTTCCTGCAGGGAGATAAAGATTGCCATTAATCACTGACTTTAAAGACGATTATTCATCAGATTATTAAAGATTATTATTGTTCTTCAGTTAAACACCAATGAGCTAAACAGTGACATGGTCAGCATGACATCACCCTTTGGTTTTGGATGTTCTAAATTCAATTCAGTTTAGTTTTATTTATTTAGCTCCAAATCACAGCACCAGTCGCCTCAAAGCGCTTTGTATCGTAAGGTCAAGACTCTAGAATCATATGACCCCCTATGAGCAAGCACTTTGGCGACAGTGGGAAGGAAAAACTCCCTTTTAACAGGAAGAAACCTCCGACAGAACCAGGCTCAGGGAGGGGCGGGGCCATCTGCTGTGATTGGTTGGGGTGAGAGAAGGAAGACAGGATAAAGACATGCTGTGGAAGAGAGACAGAGGTTAATAATAACTATTAAATGCAAAGTGTCTGTTAGCATTTTAGCTCCTGAAATGTTCTCAGGTGTTCTCAGGTTAGTTCGAGGAGGGTTTTTGGCTCACTGGTGCAGTTATGGTGCAGTCGTTGTGTGGAAACTTTCAGACCTGAATGAGAGTCCGGATTTGTTCTTGAGGTTCCTTAGTAAGTCCAACTGATTGAGAGGAGGGATCAACCTGCAGACACAAATTTTACAATCACACAGTTTCAGAATCCCTGAGGAGTGATTGGCTGCAGGTGCACAGGTGCAGTCTTACCTATACATGGGGACAGACACTGTCCTCTCGTAATAATCCCAGGTAGATGTCAGATCGGTTCGGCTCAGATTTGTGGCGTAAACCCTCCAGGCCGCCTGTCGACACAGGAAGGAAGCAGCTGACTCCTAAAAGGTCTCACGTGAGGGTGCCAGTGTAGATTCTCACCGCACAAAGTCAGTGTGATGTCAGAGCATGGGCTCACCTGTATGAGTCCTGCTGCGGGATTTCGTCTCTTCTCAAAGTGTTTCTGTCTGTGCTGCTCCTGAACCTTCAGAGCAAAGCCAGAACCCAGAATCCCCTGAAGAGAAACACAGACAGGTGAGCTGGCACGAACAGGTGTCTCAGGTAAACCCAGGTAGATAAAAAACTGACTCACAGCCGGCAGAGCAAAGAATGAAACTCCAATCAGAGTGAAGGTTGCAGCCAGCAGACGTCCATTCCAGGTGATGGGGAACTTGTCTCCATAACCGATGGTTGTCAAGGTGATCTGAGACACAAACAAACAGACTACATCGTCCCATCACGGAGGAGGAAACACCAGTTGTTTCAGCTCCGGTGTACACACCTGTACCACACCTGTGCTGGATGTTCTGTCTGTACTGATTAGGTGAACGTGTTTTTTACTGCCATGCTTTTAGTTCATGTATTTTGTTTTGCACTACGCATATTTTATATGTCATTCGGTCATTTATTGCGGGAATTCTCATGTAGGAACTTTTGTACTGCATTGGTTCTGCTGGTGCACCTGAGTGAGGTGCACGGCCATGTTGAAGCAGCAGAGGCCAATTTAAGTTGGAGGAAGTTCAAATGTTCTTAAAAGTATGTGTGACGTGCTCAAAGCATGGGTCAGCCAGCGAGGTATGTTGTAGTACAGCGGTCCCCGACCTTTTTTGCTCCACGGACGGTTTAATGTCAGACAATATTTTCACGGACCAGCCTTTAAGGCGTGGCAGATAAATACAACAAAATAAAATAATACAACCGAGACAAAAGCGGTGGGATTTTGTAACAATAAACGTGAATTCACTGTGTAATTGTGTAACTTTATTAGCAGCGTCCTCCTGAAATGCACCAACAACACAGAGTAACATCCTCCTCTCTGCCCCTTAATGCTCTCCGGTTGCTATGGTAATGGATAAATATTTATTTCAAAATAAGACACACAACTATAACACGGGAAAGATCCAGGGAAACAGTTAACGATAAAAACCCTGAAAACCATAAATTTCACACCCGCTGCTGTAGATCATTTATGTCTCTGTTTCACCCGTCTTACTATTTCATTGAATTTTATGCTGTGTTTGAGTTCGATGGTGGCGTCATTTGTGATCAAGGTGATGCTGTAACAACATCAATCCCGAGATTTTACAGCTCAGTAAAGCCAACCTCATGCCATCAGCAAGTGATGCTGTTTATACCTGCTGCTTTGCAGCTCAGATAACTAATCACAGGCAAACAGCACCTCATCTGATCTCAGGTGAGGTGTGGGTGTGTATGTGCATTCATCTTACCAGTCCCCACCAGAGGGCGTCAGCATATGTCTCAAACTGTTCATTATCTTCTTTTTCTGCCAGGTAAACGAGGAAACTTGCCAGAATGAGACACAAGAAGCCGATATACCAGGCTGTGATCAGCTCCTGCAGTGGGCGAGAGACTAGAGGGTAAAGTCAGGACTGAGGAGAGCCCGGGAGGCATCCTGCTCATGTGCTGAAACGCCTCAACTGGCTTCTAGTAGCACAGCAGCTACTTTAAGCTCCTCCACAGCTCGAGGTTCAGAATCTATGACACACTGAAAGTTAAGGATATTCCCTTAAGACTAATTTCCTCGTCCGTTAAGAGAAAAAAACAACTACACCTGTGAACTAGTCTAAAAGTAAGAAAAAAGTTTCGACTACATGACCTGACCGTTTATGACATCGAGGTTTGGAGGTGCCGGTCAGAGAGTGCACCCTGAATTTCTAAAAGTTTGTGGACTTGATGAATTTGAAGGGTGAGCCCTGCGTTTATGAGCTCTCCACCATGGACATGAAGCTGGTGCATGGTGACCTCTGCAGCACCAACTTGAATAGAATAAAATAGAATAGATCTTTATTGTCCTGTTACAAGAACAATAAAAGACAGTTTGGAATCTCTGTGTTAGCAGCCTGTAGATTTTTACATTGAAATTCCTTCAGAGAAACCAAAAAAGAGACTTAACGATGTTCCTGCACAGATCTGTACAAGTTATATACGCCATATAAAGGAGCAGCGTGATGATCGGTGGTAGTGCACACAGGGAGAGACCAGAGGTAGGAATGTTGGTTCCATTATAATAAATACAGTGAAAATGTCCGTACACGTTAACAGCACAGTCGACGTTAAATCAGGGTGGAGGCAGGACATGATGGGCTGGTGGTAGCTGGGCTCTGCTGGTTGGCAGTGTAGAGGTTTCACTGGAAGAAGGTTTCTGGATTGTTTTCCACAAACCTTTTCTTCGTACATATTGCAGTTGATTGTGTTGGTCCTTCTCCAGTTGTTGCGTCTGAGGTGGACAACTTCATCCCCAGATGTAACTAACCCAGATGCTCCTTAGTTGACTGGCTAGTTGAGGGTTAATGTTTTTCAAAATCATTTTAACAACATCACCTTCACTTATAGTTGGCTTCCAGCGTTGCAGAGTGATTGATACGTGTAGGCAAAGTCTCTGATGCTCTCAGCCTCTTTTTGGACTGTGCTCCGCACTCTCTCAGCCAGCTCATCCTCATAGTCTCCTGACAGGAACGCATTATTTCCAGGTTTGGATTTTATGGGATCCCTTGAAGTTCCAGGTAGAACATTACAAAGAGTAGCCATAAGCCCCTCGTCAGTGTGTGGGTTGAGGCCCAAGAAGTCTTCCCCCCTCTCTACGTACTGAAGAGGATCAGACTCATCAGCTTTTCCAAATGTTGGAAAAGGCACTTTGATAGGCCTCTTCCCCCCATTCTACTCCTCGTTTCACCTCGGACGTTTAGCTGGTTACAACCTGGGTTGGCCAGCCACTCTTAGATGTTTCTCTCCAAATATGTCGTCTGAATAGGTTTGCAACCCTGCATGTCCAGGTGCCGGGACAGAAAGAAGGATCCTCCTTTATCGGTTGGATGACATCAGGTATGAGTTTTGTGGTTATTTGAGTGTACTGGTCCTTTAAACTTCACTCGTTTGACAAGTTGTTTTCTGTGAGATTTGTGTTCATTTGTTCCATTTGAAAAACTGATTTTTTGTGTTCAGTGCTCGTTTTTAGCTCCTCCTCCTAGTCGTGTTGGTTCTCCACAGTTTTCTAGGCCGTTCCAGAATATCCTGATCAGCAATATTTGATGACGTGAACAGATTCACTTCCTGTGTTCTTTAATCGATTTTCCAGGAGGAGAGTTGGACAAGTTTAAAGGAGCACCGAGCTCACTCAGATCCATACCCCGCAGTGAATTATGGGAGGAGAGTTTCATTTGCTGATACCGTCTGCATTTCCAAGGGTGGCCCAGCACTGGGAGCAGTTTTGTGTTTCTGTTGGGTTGTTTCAAATAAAGTTTTTTCTTTCTTTATTTAATGGGTTTATAATTAATGAATGAGTCCCATCCGAGGTGTCATTTTTCTATTTGTCAGTTTATATAATGAAGGTTTGGGGGTAGCAGTCAGGTACAGCAAACCTCACAAAGGATGTAAACATGTAACAGAGCTTACCACCCTCAGCATGAAACAAACCACGGTTTCTCTCATAAAACTCAAACGAATTCACACACTGAAAATACTCATCCTTTAACCTAAGTGTAGTTCACGGCTCATGTTTGGTCCACGTTTTATCACTCACCAGTCCACTGCAGTGACAAACAAAAGGCGTCTCAAACCAGCTGTGCACAGCTGCACACAAAGTACAGCCTGGAGCAGCGCCTCACTGCCACCTCCATCCACAAAGAAATCCTCCTGCTTCAGAGCCAGACGATCCCCGGTGCTTTCCACTGGCGTGCTTCTTTTGAAGGCTGTCAGTGGGGCCTTCCACCCGGAAACACTGGGCTGGTCCGCTCCGTGTCGAGGACCACTCCAAAAGGAATTGGGGGTGTGGCAGTGAGTTTGCATGAGGCGATCCGAGTTCAGAGCAGCAGACAAGTGAGCACTGGCCATACGTTCATCCTTTGATGAACACGCATACGAAGTCAGATTCCTTTGCAGAACATAGATAATTCAGCATCGTCAGCAGGTTCCATTCCACACAGGTTCTGGTCCGCACAATCACGCATTCGGATCCACACATGGCTGAACGTCTTCATGCGTTCTTAAGTCCTTTGTCAGTTCTCCCAGTCACAGCTCGCACTTTCGCTATACACCTAATGGCTCATAACAGCAGCCCCACTGTCCTGCGTCCCCACATGTCTACAAACCAAATCCAAAAGACTGGATGGTCAAACCCCCACGATCACTCCAAAGTCCAAGGTCCAACGATCACTCTGAGCCTGCTTCCTAACACTGGAGACCACAGGTGTCGAACTCCAGGCCTCAAGGGCCAGTGTCCTGCAGGTTTTAGATGTAACCTTGATACAACACAGCTGATTTGAAGGCTAAATGACCTCCTCAACATGTCCTGAAGTTCTCCAGAGGCCTGGTAATGAACTAATAATGTGATTCAGGTGTGTTGACCCAGGGTGAGATCTAAAACCTGCAGGACACCGGCCCTCGAGGCCTGGAGTTGGACACCCCTGCTGTAGACCAAACTTTCCTGAGATCTGGTCATCTTCCAGGATACTCTGACAGGTAAACAGTAGGGGCGCAGCGAAACACATAATTCACGGTTCGATATTTTTTTGATACAAAAAAAAATGTTCATGCTTTTTGAATTTATCATTTATTAAAATTATAAATATATATTTTAACTCAAACGTACAGTCTTTTAATTTAATGTTGCTGAAACAACAAAGGGATAAAATAATAAATCTATCTGATCGAGAAATCACTCATCTTTGGAAAAGAGAGTTTATTACAGAGAAATGGCTCTTTCCAAAATAAAAGCTATACTATACGCTTCTTCTTCAGTCTGCCCCAGGGCAGCTGTGGCTACAACTGTAGCTGCCTCCACCAGTATGTGAATGTGTGTGTGAATGGGTGGATGACTGGGTGTGTAAAGCGCTTTGGGTCCCTAGGGGGGACTAGTAAAAGCGCTATACAAATACAGGCCATTTACCATTTCTGGGCTATATTCTCAGCAGCATATTAAACATATCAGGTCCCCATAAGGAGAATCATGTGCTAACGGCTGTCTAAATGACTCGGGTAAAGTTTGTAGCATGCGTGCTTGTTGTTTTTGTCTGCTTCCACTTGTCTTTGCACTAGGATGATGTCGGAGTAAATGTGCAGTCATATTCGTTGTGTTCCCACTAGTGCTGTCAGCGTTAATCTCGTTGAAATGACGTTAACGCCACAACACGGCAAATCTCCTTAACGAGCTACCGCGGATCGCCCCGTGCGTGGGGCTGTTAACGAGCTAACTGCACTAACGCAGTAGTTCCCACCCATGTAATTGAGCATTGCGTGGCACATCCAACATACTGTTTTACTTTGTCCATGACGCGCTTACCTTCAGGGTCATACTTCACATGAAGACCAAAATAGTTCCAAAGGCCAGATCTGAATGAGGGTGGGGGAGGTTCAATTTGCCATGTTGCAATGAGCTTAGCTTCTGTCTGCTAGCTTGCGCTGCGCTCAGTGGATCTGCGCTCGACAGTGCAGCCTAGGCGGAGTAGTCGAACGCAGATCCACTGAGCCTCAACACAGACAGCATCGTCAGAAGGAAAGTTGATAAAATAAATTACAAATTTTGTATTGTTCGATACATATGCGTACCGAACCGAAAGCACTGTATCGAACGGTTCAATATCGATACGAGTATCGTTGCACCCCTAGTAATTAGGTAACCAACAAAAATAGACTGACTCTAAATTTTATTTATACTCTTTTCTATTTTGAGGTATATGTGAAACATTGATCTAATCAATAACTCCGATCAATACAGATGAAAGTAATAAACCAATACTGCAGCTCAGTGTTGTGGTTTCTCTAATACTGTAGACCTGGTGGGGTTAAGCACAAGCTTTGACCTTTGACATCCATCAGTCTGGGTGCCAGCTGAGCTCAGTGGGTGAGCGGGCGACCACACAACTGCAGAGCAGCGGCTCGGGTTTGAGCCCGACCCGTGGCCCTTTGCTGCGTGCCATCTCCTCCCTTTCTATTCAACCTTCACTTTCAACATCCAATAAAGTCATAAATACTTCAAATAGTGGACCAATCTTAGATCTGTAAATATTCTGATTCTTTGATTTCAGTCAGTTTTTAAACTTTCGTGTCCTGTTCCAGATTCTCAGTGTTTCATCACAGTGAGCATTAGCTGATCTGTAACCACCGACAAGTCAGCGCCACGTCAGCTGGCATCACTCACACATACGAGTTTTACCTTGCTGTGAGCGTAGACCACCGATCCCAGCAGCTTCCAGGTTCCTCCTCGGCGATCCATACGGATCATTCGGAGAATCTGAAGGAACCGCAGTGACCTGATGGCCGACGTAGCGAAGACGTTTCCCTGAGTCCCTGCAGCCAGGACTGATATGGATGCTATGAGCACCATGATGTCTGCAGACAGACAGGTAACAGGTAGGTCAGAGATGGCTTTTCTAATTGTACCATCATGAGCTGGTCCTTTCCATTAGCACTGGTAGTTATTCTTCTAACATTGCCCCACTGGCACAAACCCACGGGGTTTTCTGTTTTCATTACAGACGCTGCAGCTTGGGTCTGTCTTTGAAATCATCATGTTACTTATCACTTTTAATAATAATGATGATAATACATTTTCTTTTATGTACCTTTCAAAACACTCAACGTCACCTTACGCAGAAGAAAAGACAATGCAGTGTCTCAAAAATGAGTTAATAAAACAAGATTGGACTATTGTATATAAACACAAGGATGTCAATAAACCCTATGAGGCATTCTTAAGCATATTCATGGCTTTTTTAGAGGAAAACAGCCTACTTATTGAAGTCAACAGGAAAGATAAGTATGCAGGAAGACCATGGATGACAAAGGGACTGCAAAATGCCTGTAAAAAAAGAACACCTTATATAGAGAATTAATTAAAAAGAGAACTACAGAATCTGAAAAGAAATATAAAAAGTATAAAAATAAATTAAGAGAACTTGTAAAAAAGAATACTTCATCAAAAAGTTAGAAGATAATAAAGATAGCATGAAAGGGATATGGAAGGTATTAAATAGTATAATAAAAAATGGACCAAGGACTAATGACTACCCTGGGTATTTTATGGAAGGGACAAATACTATTAGTAAAATGAACGAAATAGTAAATGGATTCAATACATTTTTTGTAAATATAGAGCCAAAACTGGCTGCGGAAATAAAGGTTGATATGATAGAAAGGGAGGAAACATTGAAAGGAATGCAAGTTCAATGTTTTTAAGAGCAGTGGAAGAGAAGGAGATATATGATATTGTCAGTGGACTTAAGAACAAAACGAGTACTGACTGTCATGATATTGATATGGTAACGGTAAAGAGAGTAATTGATGGTATTGTAAAACCACTACAATATATTTTTAATTTGTCTTTCCAGGAAGGGGTTTTTCCACAAAAAATGAAAGTTGCAAAAATTATTCCTATTTATAAATCAGGTGAAAAGCATTGTTTTACAAATTATAGACCAGTGTCGGTACTCTCCCAGTTTTCTAAGATACTGGAAAAACTATTTCTAAAAAGATTTGATAGCTTTGTGGATAAACATGATTTGTTGGCAAATTGCCAGTATGGGTTTAGAAATAATAGATCAACAGTTTTGGCATTCATGGATTTAATGGAAGAAATAACAGAATGTATGGATAACAAGAAGTATTGTATGCACTAGGAGTCTTTCTAGATCTAAAAAAAGCATTTGATACTGTTGACCACGAAATTCTAAAAATCAAACTGGAAAAATATGGGTTCAGGGGTGTGGTACTGGATTGGATAAACAGCTATGTGATGAATCGACAGCAATATGTACAAATAAATGAGATTAAATCTAAAATGATGGATATTGAATGTGGAGTACCTCAAGGATCAGTATTAGGTCCGAAAATGTTTATTATGTACATAAATGATATTTGTAAAGTATCGAAGATACTAAAGTTTGTAATTTTTGCAGATGATACCAATATACTTTCTTCAGGTGCGGAATTTCAACAGGTTTTGGAGGTGATCACACAGGAGTTGAAGATATTAAAGAAGAAACAATAGAAAGAATAGAAACAAATTGTCCTTAAATTTAAATAAAACAAAATTCATGTTATTCGGAAACTATAAAAAAAACATTAACATTGGAATTTGTGTCGATAATATATATCTAGAAAGGGTTAATGCCATAAAATTTCTTGGTGTGATCATTGATCATAAGGCCTGTTGGAAATCACACATCACTTATATGAGGGGAAAGTTAGCACGGGGCATTGCTGTCTTGGGGAAAGTAAAACAATTTCTGGATAGGAAAACATTGTATATGTTATATTGTGCTTTGCTATTACCATACATGAGTTATTGTGTAGAGGTTTGGGGAAATACATATAAAAGTAATATTCAGACTATAATCATAATGCAGAAAAGGGCCATTAGACTAATAAATCAGGAGGGGTATAGGGCTCACACAAATGCACTCTTTATTAGGATGCAAGCTATAAAATTCCAGGATCTGGTGAAGTTTAAAACAGTGCAAATAATATATAAGGTAAGGAAAGGGATGCTCCCAATCGAAATAAGTAAATGGTTCTTAGAAAGAGAAGGAAGGTATAATTTTAGAGGGAAGTGGAATTTAAAATTACACAGAGTAAGAACAACATTGAAAAGGATGTCTATTTCAATAGCGGGAGTTAAATTCTGGAATGAGTTAAAAGAAGAAATAAAGGTCAGCAGTGATATAAAACAGTTTAAAATAAAACTCAAAAAAGAAATTTTAAATAAGTATAAGAATGAAGAAAATGCAATTAACCCAAGACAGCAGTCAAACTCATGTTTATTTTCTTCTGCAAATTAGCAAATCTAAATATAGTTTCAGTTGAACATGTGAAAATATTTTTTTGAGATGTTATGTTCTAAGTTGAAGGCATTGTATATGTTTTTGTTGTTCAAATTTAGATGATGAGGATGTAAACCTGTAAACCTCCTTTTCAAACAACTGTATGGAATGATTTTATGAAACGTTGGTGAATGTATATGTTTGAAATAAAAAAGAACTGAACTGAATAAAACAACAACAGACATAAATACCAATTTGATAGGGTTTGATTTGTTTGTGGAGGACGAGTCGAGATCTTTTATAGATTTTATGTTCCAGGCAACAACCTTTAGCTTTAAGCTGACTGAAATAAACCATGGTGCAACACAGAAGGAGCCAAGGCATCTAAAATGTCATCAAGTCCATCATTAAATGAGCGTTTAATCAGGGAAGGACAGAGGATTTATGCTCGGGAGGCAGTCAGTACGACTCAAAAGAGTGTTCAAATTAATGCCCCTGATGTTGCAAAATGAGATGACAAATGGAGTTAAATTAACATTAAAGATATTCACATGTGGTCAGAGGTGGGGAGATAAGCTGTTGTACAGCAGGGGTGGGGAACTCCAGGTGTCAGATATCACTCTGTGTCACCCAGGATTAGTTCATTAGCAGGCCTCTGGAGAACTACAAGACATGTTGTTGACTGGATCCTACCCAGGCTACCATGTGGCAAGAGGCAGCGCTAACACAGACAGCCATTTACATTCACACCTACGGCCAATGTAGACTCCCCAGTTTACCTAACCCCACTAACTGTGTGTCTTTGGACTGGGAGGAAGTCGGAGTACCTGGAGAGAACCCACACAGACCAATGACATCCAGACAGCAACAGAACGCTGGCAGAGAGTCGGAGAGGGCGACTGTGGCCAGTGGACTACGTAGGAAAAGCAGGGTAGTCCAGACAAGCACAGACCCCCAAAACAACACGTTAATCCACAAAGCTGCTGAAGATGAACCACAGGAGGGCTTCGGACCAGTGAGAACACAGGTTATGGGTGGGAGTTAACAAACATTAACAACGGGTAATACAAGGCTCACCAACATGCCAGCAGCAGCTAGTCGCACCAGCGTTCACTCCCACGAAGAAGCTGTTATGAAGACAACACCCAGATTTCCTTCCCTCTTAAACCCGCCTCCTGCTCTCTAACCTGCTGTTGAGCTGATGTTAAAACCTGGCTCTCACAAAAAGTCTTCAAACTCAATGAAAGCAATGTTTTAGTGATTTATCCCACTCACTGACAGACCATGACATTTCCCACTGTCCCTGCATACCTACATGTTGTATAAAAAACATCCGTAACACGACTGCAGCAGCTGGACTCCTGGCACATGCATGTTTAGCTCAGTCTTAAACTCCAGCTTAGTTCTGTTGATCAGCACCTTCTAATAATTCCAGACTGACTGCTTGACTCATACAAGCAACCGTGAATTCCCAGCCCCGAAACTCTGGAATCATCTTCCCAACTGCAAACATACTTCCTCTCATCAGCTGTTTCAGCTTCAGACTAACTTAAACTATAACTCCTGCTCAACTGGAAAAGGACTATGGAATTTCCTCCAAGACTAATTACTTTAGATATTTCCAGGTTCGGGACTTTGTGAAAAAGTCATTCAGCCCCTCCCTCGAGCTTCCACAAAGCGGATGGATAGACGAGTTGATGGACACAGATCCGACTGCTAAGGGGACAATCTCCACGCTATATGCACGTATTCAGAATGTGGCTTCCCCCTCCCTGGACAATGTAAGACGGAAATGGGAGGAAGAATTGGGGCTGGACATTTCAGAGGTTGACTGGGGGGGGGCTGTAGATCTAGTACACTCTGCTTCTATATGTGTGAGACACGGATTGATACAGTTCAAGGTGTTGCACAGACTCCATTTGTCAAGGGAGAAACTGGCAAGAATGTACCAGGGGGCCGATCCGACCTGCCCCAGATGTAAACAGGTGCCAGCCAACTTATGCCACATGTTCTGGTCTTGTTCCAGGCTGAAAGACTTTTGGGCTAACATCTTTAGAACATTCTCATTCATTTCTAATAAGGATATAGAACCAATGCCTCTGACAGCCATCTTTGGTGTGGCACCGAGGGAAACTCAACTAACAGCCTCTCAGAGGAAGGCAATAGCATTCGCCTCATTGTTGGCTAGGAGATTGATTCTATTTAACTGGATAAAGGCAACACCGCCATCCCATAAACGCTGGGTGGAGGAGGTGATGGCGCACCTCAAATTAGAACATCTCAGATTTACTATACAGGGCAACACCAAGAAATTCTTTAAGGTCTGGCAGCCTTTCATTTCCTATTTTGAAGATGAGTTTCCGTCCACTCCATAACTTGGCAACTCCCCCCCCCCCCCCCCCCCCCCCCCTTTTTTTTTTTTTTTTTCTTCCCCCTTCCTCTGTCTGGGTATAGTTTTGTCTTACACTGTGTGGTAGGACTTGAGTTCGAGCTTTTTTGTATGAATGTTATGCTTTCTGAAAACTCAATAAAAACACTCTGATTATTAACTTAAACTATAACTCTAACTTTAATTATTCAAATTTTTATTATTCATTTATTTTGTTGTACTTTTACTCCTGAGGGGGGCTAACACACAGACAACCATTCACACTCACATTCACACCTATGGGCGAATGACCAGTTACCCCAACCCTATGATAACTCCTACATCATTTGTGTTGCATTGTGTACTCGTTGTGCAGCACTTGGTGAACATCTGTTGTGTTTAGATGTGCTGTATAAAAGTGTGCTGTGCAGTGCTGTCCCTGCCAGCAGAGGCCTTAGCTGTGAGGCAGAGCTCTGGGGTTTGTTGTACGGTCTGACCTTGAGGTCCCCTCCTGTCTCTAATGTTTTTCACCTGTGGATAATCTCTTTCTCTGTACAACGATGGACAACGATGGAGTTTGTTTAGCAATACTGTTAAAACCCTCTGAGACTGATGGGCAACAGTTGCTTCTCTAAGATCACTTTGATGTCTTTCCTCCTGTGTTAACACGCCTGAATGCTGCAGAGCAGCTGATTTCATCAGCAGCTCATGAGTTCATCAGCAGTAAGGCTGGATGGTCCAGCTCCACCCTAAACACAGTTGGAGATGCTGAGCTGAAGGAAGTGAAGTGAAACCACAGCCTCCGCCTCCACAGGTCCTTCTCACCACCAACTGAACTGTCTCTAGTTGAGGGTGAAGAAGAGTAACAGAGTAGCAGAGGCTACACAGCAAACAAGCGGTGGGATTGACTTCGGCGTGACTTTTAAACTCTACAAACCTTCTACAGAGGAAGTAAAGACCTTTAGAAGGTCCTCGGGGACATTTGTGGATGAAGCTCAGAGATAATGAAGCAGATGTGACACAGACTGAACGTGACCAACAAACACACTCAGCTCTGACCCACCGATGACGCAGAAGGGCTTCCTGGCGAATTTCAGTCGACCTCGCCACCCTCTGTACCGACAGCAACACCCGGCAGCCCAGATCCTCACCATGTACTCCACCCCGAACACCACGATGGTCACCACCTCCTGTTACACCACAACAACACGCTGTTAAAGATCAGAGCAGCACGTATGTGCTCAGAAGAATATATCCAGCTTTATGTGAAGAATGAAACACTGCAGCTGAACAGAACCGTCAATAACTTTATTTTATATTTGTTTCATCTCCGCTTCAAGCACCATCACGTGTGCGATCAGCTCCACGCTGAGCCAAACCTTAGACACTAGCTAAGCAGGGGTGTCCAACTCCAGGCCTCGAGGGCCTGCATGTTCTAGATCTCACCCTGGGTCAGCACACCTGAATCACATGATGAGTTCATTACCAGGCCTCTGGAGAACTTCAGGACATGTTGAGGAGGTCATTAAATCAGTGTGACATGTCTAAACCTGCAACACCGGCCCCTGAGGCCTGGAGTTGGACACCACTGAGCTAAGCCTTCTGCTCTGCTTTCTGTGATTTGCATAAAAAATATGGTACAAAATTTGAAAACATATTGTTTTGGGGTTTTTTCACTTCTTTTTTTTTTTTTTTCCTTTTTTATTACATTTTGTCCTGCTCATTTTCTGTTTTTAATGTTAATGTTTAAAGTTTTACATCAGTGGTTCCTAACTTTTGCACATTATAATCTCTCAATATGAAGTAAAGTTCACTGGTAATTACTGCTTTCAGTGTTGTAAATGGCATCAAGCTGTAAGCAGATCTTACACTGAGGCATTTTCAGCCTTCTTTTTTCTTTTTTCTTTTTTTTTCACAGTGAACAGAATTTTTTATACATGTCTTTATACATTACACTGTTTCATATAAATGATTTTTATATCTGTGAACTACACATCGGCATTTCCAGTTAATAACTGTTGCTTTTTACTTGAAGTGTGCATAGCTGACCATAGACTTTTCTGTTGTTTATATTAGATATGAGATATGATTCATTATAACACATGAAAATAATCGTCAATATGAAATCATTCCAATTTGCCAAAGATTCAGAAATGCACTGCAGAGGAAAGAGAGGGGTCGAGCACTCTGCTACAAGCTTTTTATATTCACAGCGATCACAGTGCTATAATGAAAAGAGTCTAGGCCATGCACTTAGACCATGTGGATGTAAACCATGTCTGTAGACTTTGCAGAAAATATGCAGGCAACATGTTAACATTTTAAAATTTTGCTGCCATCTTTGTGATGTTGGTTTTTTCACTTCTTATATCTTCACAAGTTTTTAAGCTGTATTTTTTTGAAAGATGGTGCGTCTCTCTCAGACGTTTTTTTAACAGTGAAATCTGCATCAGTGTTTGAACATGATGGTCTTAAAAAAGATGGAAGTGTGACCCTTTCCCTGCCTGGATCTCTAATCTGGGACCGACACATTCAAACTATCTGCAGTTCAAATATGACAAAAACTTTATATATGTGCTGCTGAGGACTCGGGGGGCAGGGTGTCAATGTTACTAGTTGTCTTTTGCATCATACTGCAAAAGACAACTAGTAACATTTGTGATTTTTATATAAATATTTCACAATACTAAAAACAAAGTGTGTAGAATGATTTTCATCAAGAACTTGTTGGTCATAAAGTGGAGAAAATGACATTTTCATTCAGGTTTCATGCTGTGTATCAGTAAATATGACTTTGTTGTACCACAAAAACAAAAATATATTATTAGATCGTCCAAATTCTGGAGTTTAACCATGTTAAATATGTAGACTGACTCTACCAGCCTACTTTGTTGAGTCTAATATTTCAGTTTAAAGTGTTACTGTAAACTAAAAACAGAACACATATTTAACACACAGCACAGTCTGATGCTACATGAAGTTTTATTATCATAATATCATTATATATATTATAATTAGCATCACTCTGACATTTCCTGTCTGTTCCAAAGATCCTGGTTCAGTTTCATTCCGAGTGGAAATTTCAGGCTTTTGTCTTTGGAAATATCCATGTTCAAACATTGCCTCGAGTTTCAGTTTTTGAGAAAAAGGCCTGAAAGTTGGTCGATCTAAAATATTCACATGGACATATGTGGACATAAATGTAAGCACACTGGCGACGGTCGAGTGTGATGTTTGCGTGGCGTTACCAGGATGTAGAGCGCGTCCTCGGAGCTCTTCTCGTACTCTCTGATGGTGGAGAACACAGACAGAACCAGGCAGGAGAACACCAGCAGGAACCTGAACACAGAACAGGAAAGATCTGCGTTTCAGGGAAAATAAACATTAGTGAAGTGACCTCACTCTGAGAGACGGCTGTGGGGAAGAGAGGGCGGGAATATTAAGAACCGCCCAGCTGTCCCCACCTGCCAAATCCCACTTTTCTCCTGCTCGTTACATTGGTGTGCGCACGCAGGTGTGCGGACAGGTACGTACACATAGGCGTGGTAGATAAAGGCCCATCCTCGGGGTCTCTCCAAGACGTTGTACAGGAAGTTCTGCAGGCGTCTGTAGAGGGCGTTTCGTTTGGGAGGTTTCTTCCCCCCGGAGACGCTGCTGCGCTGCCGCCGAGGCCCCTCGTCTCCACCTAGACACAGAAACATGTCAGACAGGCACACGGACGCTTATATGTGCTGCTGAGGACTGGGGGGCAGTATGGGAGTGATGTGGGAGTAAATCTACTGTGAAACCCTCTGCCTGTGAGGGGCAGCCAATCAGAGGAAAGCAGAATCAGAAATACTTAATTATTAATCTCAGCATGTGGTCACAGTAAGAACAGTAACGAACAAGGAAAAACAATCCAGTTATTATTTACTAATTAATAATATAATTACAGAAAAGCTCTTTAAGGGGGAGGAGCTAAAACAGCCTGTTTCAGACTGAGAATGATCTGAGGTGTCCAGAGCAAGATAAAGAAGGATTATTCTGAGCTGTGAACCATGCAAAGCTGCTCCTGTGCATCAGCCAATCGCATTCAAGCCTCTTCTCAGTAAACACCTGCACCATGAAGCTGATTGGTCCAAACCTTCAAGAGAAAGGTTTGCAGGTTTTCGTGACAGAGTGACCACGTGACATGTCCTGTATACGTTTAAGTGAAATCAGCTGCTTTGGTTATTAAAGGTAACACACACAGCTGCTCACCCGCTATGAGCAGAGCACCGTCCCTACTGGAGTCCGTCCCTCCGGCCTCCAAACCCACGAAGCCGACCTTCAGCTTCTTCTGGTCGGCCTGCGCTCCGGGGAACACCCCGCCGTTGCGAGATTTCTGCACCATGACGGACCGACGATGTGCACCGATTCACCGAGCTACAGCCAGCCCGCGGACCGAGCATCGAGGCCGGGCAGGGCCGGCGGGAGCATCGGGGCCGAGGAGGAGGAGAAACGGAGAGGAGGAAGCGGAGGATGCAGCACAGACGAACCGCAGATTGGCTGATCAGCAGGTTTTTGACTTCCCGCACGAGGAAGGAAACAGAATGACGTCACCGCGTCAGAAACATTGATCACTTCGATCAGCTGCAAAAAAGAAAAAGAAAAAGAAAGCGTGATCGTTTATCACCGTCTCCACGGCAACGTGATGTCAACGGCGGTCACCATGGCAGCACGAGGTGTGGGCGGATGGAGATTGTGGCGACAGCGTCATTAACCAAAGAACCAATCAGGTTGGTGATGACGACAGACCCTGCAGCGTCAGCAGAGCCTGGTGACAGTGGGAATGAAGAACCCTTCTCTGTCCCCAGTAAACTGAAGCCATTTTCCTGCTTCAGAATCAGAATACTTTATTGATCCCTGGGGGAAATAATTTTTTATTACAGTGCTCCATTATAAACAAACATTAACAAGACAGACAATACACTAACTAAGAATAGCACAATATATACATATACATAAAAGTCACTTATTAATAAATAGCTGAAAGCGATGTCCGCCCTCTACATTGATGAAGAGGAGGTAGAAAGGGTATTTATTTATTTATTTATTTATTAACCTTTATTGACCCTGTGCACGAGAAAATGCTAACTTCCTGGTTTGAGACCGGATGTAGGGTTGTACATTTCCGGTAGCTTTACTTTGCGGTCAATCGCTACTGTGAAGATATACTCCAAACCATGTCCAAAACTCAAAAACGGAAAGATTGCGTTAAGTTACAAAGAGCAGAAGGTGGGAACACTCACCACTGTCTGTGTCATAAAAAATCTAATGATCAATTTTGACGTTTAAAGCGTTTAGATCGATCAGTTGTTTACATCACTCAACACAAGCAGAACTGCATCACTGCAGCAGAAGACACATCGTCCACATTCAGAAGCACATCTCTGTATAGTGACTGGTCTCATGATTTAAACAGGCAAATGTTCAGCATTCAAACTACAGGTGAAGAATAGTCAAACCAGATGTTTCCCGTTATGTCGAGATCAGCTCGTCAAGTACACACCTACACAGCATGTTAACAAACCGTGAAAAAAGCCACACAAAAAATGAATGATTGCTGGTAACGGTTTCTATACATTAGTATTACGAAGGGTATGTTGTGACTTACCTTCAAAATTACAGCGGTCCCTCGCTATAACGCGGTTCACCTTTCACCTCGCTGTTTCGCAGATTTTTAGTGCAAGTTTGCTCTATTTTTTTACGTCACATTGTGTCCTGCGTCCTGATCGCTGCAGACGATCTCCTCCGTGACGTCTCTCCTGTACAGTACAGAATCGCTGCATCGATCGCTAGCAGTGTGACTCTGAAGTGCAGTGCTGTATGTCCACGATGTCCACGAAACGTTTTGCACCGTCAAAAAATAAAATTGGCTACTTGATTTCACCTCTCGCTGGTTATTTTAGAACATAACACCCGCGATAAACGAGGGACAGCTGAGATATATATAATTATATATAATATTATATATATATATATCTATATATATATATCACCGCACTTTATGACCAACAAACAAAACCCAAAGAAAGAAACAAAAAAAACAACATTTTACAACTTCAACCTAAAGCGCTCTATCTATGCAAGATAGCATGGGTGCTGTGTAGGAGGTGCGGTGACTCCCAAGCTGTGTTTAAAAGAGAAACACAACTTATTTTGAAAATGCAATCTCAGTTTTAACTTCAGATTCTCCACATGTGGTTTGAAGTTGAGCGAGTCATGATTTAAGATTCCCAGATATTTATACGTGTGAACCAACACTGTTTTATTACCCTCAAGAGTGGTTACTGATGGGATTGTTTGGACCCATTTCCTTGATTTAGAAAACAACATGAGCTTTGTTTTGTCTGCGCTGAGAACACGTTTAAGCTGAAGTAATGAGTGCTGGACAGAAAACAAGGCTTTCTGCAAGGAGTCAATGGCTTGGACAAGAGTTGAACCACAGCTGTAAATAACTGTGTCATCAGCATGGAAGTGCAAGTTTGCATCTGGCACATTTAGCCCAAGATTGTTTATGTAAATGATAAATAGAAGGGGACCTAATACAGAGCCTTGTGGCACTCCGTTGTAACAAAGTTAGAACATAGACTGTCAGATTTAATGCAGTGAAGAAAGCTTTAAGTTTCTCAGAGTCCACATCCCGGCCGACCTTACCTGGTTCGCAAACATTTCCCACCAGGAAGTAAAAGCGCAACAAAGGCTGTACTTCCTCAGGAAACTGCGTCAGGCCCAATTACCTCAGAGACTGCTAATTAACTTCTACCGCTCCACCATTGAGAGCCGTCTGACCTATCGCTGCACACTCTGGTTCAACTGCTGTACTGTGGAGGACCAGAGGAAACTGCAGCAGGTGGTGAGGGCAGCAGAGCAGGCAATTGGCACCTCACTAACCCCCCTCAGAGACATTTATACTGGCAGACTCTAGCGGAGAGCCAGCATCATCGTCCCCTCCCACCCTGGACACTCACTCCCCCCCCCCTCTGGTAATCGCTACAGGTCCATCAGGTCAAACCATCTTTATTATGATAGTAACCATCTTACTCAATGTGCATTACATTGCTTCTTTATATGGCAAAATAACTACATATCTGTGTAGATACATACGTTATCACATACATTCCCTGTGCAGGTACCTCTTAAACTCTATTTTTTGGTTTCTGTTATTCTAAAGGAATTTTAATGTAGAATCTGCTGCTAATGCTGAGATGCCAAACTGTCTTTCATTGTTCTTGTAACAGTGACAATAAAGTTCTATTATGTTCTATTGTTCAGTTCCAGTTTGCTGTTCTTACTGTTCTGCTGTTGATCTTTCCAGGTTTTTGGACCACATGATAGCTGGTCCTTGGTCCATCAGGTTTATACAGTGTGGTGCAACTATCCCTGGTAAATGGACTGGTTCTTATGTAGGGCTCTTTCTACTCTACACACCTAAAGCGCTTTAATCAACTTGCCTCATTCACACAAGTCCTTTATTCTATGTAAGAGCTTTCTATCACACACGTTCTTACATCAGAGAGTTCTCAGGCCCCTACTGTCTGCCATGTACACCTATGACTGCACGCCAACCCACCCAACCAACATCATTGTCAGGTATGTTGATGACACCACATCTCTGATGATGATGATGAGACAGCATACAGGGTGGAGGTAGAGAAGTTGTCCCGTTGGTGCTCACAGAAGAACCAGAAGCTGAACGACCCTAAGACCAAAGAACTCATCATGGACCTCAGGAGGCACAGACAGCTCCCCTCCTCCCTCGTTATAAATGGAGAACAGGTGGAATCTGTCTCCACCTTCAGGTTTCTCCTCTGATCTCACCTGGACTCACAACACCATCTCCGTGGTAAAGAAGGCCCAGCAGCGGCTGCGCTTCCTTTGTGTCTTGAGAAGAACCTGGACCAGGAGCTGCTGCTGGTCTTCTACCCTCCTCAGTGGAGAGCGAGGTCTCCTCCTGCCTGGTGTTTGTACTCAGGGGCCACGACTGAGAGCAGGAAGGCTGCACAGAGGGTCATTAACACCGCCCAAAAATCATTGGGTGCCCTCTGACGCCCCTGGAGGCCATCGCCAGATCGACCTGTCTCAGGTAAACCAGGGCCATCACAGGTGACCCCTACACCCCGCCCTGCCAACCCACCTCACCACTCTGAGCCATGGTCAGAGTGACCCTCATCACTCAGGACACTCACACAAAGACTGTATTCAGACAAAGTCCTTTTGGACTAGCTCTTTGCAAACTGTTCTCTGTTGTGTGCCTTTCTCTGATTTTTGTATTTATTCCTGCTGTCTACTATTTATATTTTATTGTGGCACAGCTGGTGTGGAGCACCCACACTTTCACTGTACATGCCCAATGACAATAAAGGGCTGTTCTATTCTATTCTATTAAATAGACATGGGTATATAAACCTCTGTTTTACTTTGACTCCACACCTGAACAGAAAATGAGGTCAAAGTTCAGTGTCGGATTAAATGTGGGGGAACTATCAGTTTGATATAATCATTTATATTGAGAGCTCCAGCAGATTTTCAGTAGTAGGTCAGCAGTGTGGTTGAATGTGTTGTATGGCGTAACAAACGGATGACACGGTGCTGGTTGAGTGGAGACGAGCGAGCCTGAGAGCACTGAAGCTTTGAGTAACACAAAGTTAGCGTACGTCAGTTTATTCTGCAGGAAGTTTCACAAAAACTTCACATCATACAGTATCAGTATCTGACGATATCACATGCAATCTATAAAGTCACTAAGAGCAATGCTTTAACCCTGACCTCTGTTCCTGCTCTCCTGTCATGTTCCTCTGAGTGAACTTTGGAAATACAGCGAGTCTGCTCGCTGAAGGTCCAGGCGCTGTATTTTCAAACAGTTTGTGTGTTTGCTATAATGCTGCATTTGAAACTGCCTGACACAAAGTCATTACCGTCTCTATGCTCGTGTAGCAGGTTGAAAAAGCTACATGTTTATTTTTGTAAGAAAACCAATTACCCCCTTATTTTTTGTTTATTATTGTGACTTATTTTGAAATTATGTGTGCCAGACCATCGTTATATTTCATTATGCCAGTAGATGGTGCTCTTGCACTGCTGTGGAACTACCAGAGCGACTCTAGCTATAGGCTCTGTGCACGCGCAGCTCAGAAATAAATGAGCTCCGGCCTGAGCAAGACGCTAACTTCGGTGTCCTCGCTATTAATCCACAGTTTGCTCATATTTGGCTACGCAGTGCTCGTGTGCCGCTTGTTGCCGGTCCAGATTCCCCTAGGTCTGGTGCCGGTAACACTCGCTGCTCTGCTAGATGCTGAAGTGCTACAACCACAGCTTGTAGGCATCTGCAGCATGAACGCTGTCCTGGATCGTTCTGTCTTTAAGCCCTGAGATATAAATGATGCACCAATAGGACTGTCTTTACCCATTATTGTTTCTCCATTGATGATGATGATGGTGGTGGTGAATCACCTACTTTTAAAAAAACTAAATAAACAAGCGAGGGGATCAGGACAATCACAGAGGCCTGCGTGATAAACTGAGGGATTTCCACACAGATTTAATAACAACATGGACATGCAGGAAGACCGTGTGTCTGCTGGCTTCATAAAAATGTCCCTAAATTACTGTCACACTCGTGGTGCTCACCATGGTGTCCTGTTAGACTTCATGACTGTGGAGAAGAGCTCATATAAAATCATGCATGCCTGCAGGGCACTCGTTCC